AAAAAAAAAAAAAAAAAAAAAAAAAAAAAAAAAGGAATTGCATCAATACAACTCGGAACAGATTAATTGAACATTTCGAGAATCATATTTCAAATGTTTATTTGCAGCGTTCAATTCATTGCAGTTTTAATTCAGCAAATGATTATTTTCAGTTTTTTAAAGCAAGGAAAACTACTGTTTTTATAGTTCAATTTTTTTTCTGTATATTGGTTTATTTATTCATTTATCTGTATCTATCCACTTACTTAGTTATTCATCATCAAATAGTGGAAAAATTCTATTTATAAACATCTCATTTTTTTCTGCTTGTCTACTCAAAGCACTACTAAAAATAGTCGAAAAAATTGTTTATTAACTTGTCTTTTTTTTGTCTTAATCATAGCAATAATTCCAGAAGAAAAGTGTTTGCTAAATGAACAACCAAAAGAAAAAAAATTCTTTCAACATATCCGGAAAGCATTTCGTTGTCGTTGTTGTTCGGACATGAAAGTTTTGAATAATGGATGGAAAAAAAACCAGTGTTTTTTCTTCGTCTCTAATAATTGATTTAATGCTTTGAATCGTTAAGCTTTTTTTGAATATTCTACTCAATATTGGTCGAAAAATACTGTTGCGAAAGACTTTTGAGGAAGCATAACAGGGGCTTTGAATTGTGTAATTGTGAAGAATATGATTCAAAAAAATTGAAATTGACGGATTTAAAGGCATTTTTCGTGGACTTAATATCATTTTCATCACTTTTTTAGAAGAAAATTTACTGCGTGTTTTTATGGATAAGTCGGAAAAAATAATAGTAAAATTTTTGCCTTTAATTATTATTTATTATTACCAATAGTGCTCTCTATACTCTCGACTTGAAAACGTACACTTTGTTTACCAACAGTTTTTTCTTGTTATATATTCTATACTATAAATCTGTTATCAGGTTTTTTTTAAGCTTAAAAGTGAGAATGAAAAAAGTAAACAGTTAAAACTATTTTTGGAATGAATTTCAGGAGTCAACAATTTGATTGTGATGAACGACGAACAGTGTTGTGAAGGTAAACTGAAACTTTTATCGAGTTTTGGTTGAAAACATCCAAATAGTTCATGTTAATTATGCCACCTATCATTGATACTATTTAAATTTTGTACACATCTGGTTATTTTACTTTATTTCCTCTCTTTTTTTTCGCTCACAGATGTGCTGAGTAGTTTTTGATATTGTTTTTTATACATAAAACAACCTTTCTGTATTGTTTTAAAAATAAATCCAATAATTTTTACTGTGATATTAAGAAAAGTGTTCAAAAGTTGGAAAAATCAAAAAGAAGATAACTTGTTCTTTATAAGATGAATACAAAAGACAACTAATGAACTAAGCAGCTGAATAACAAGTTCACAGTTTATTTTTATTTAATTGAATATCTGTAGCAGAAAAGTGCTATCTACAAATTTTCTTCTCGCCCTCTTTAGAATCCAATAATCTAGGTGAAGTGGTACTTGAGGAAGATTTGGATTCTGACAAAGACGTTACTCAGGAACAGGAAGAAGACGCAGAATTGGAACTGCAGCATGATCAAGACAAGAGACCAGATGATGAATCTGCACAACCTGAAGAAGCTGCCAGTCCTCCAAATCTAGAGGAAAATTTGGAAGAAGCACAAGAAAATGTTTGTCATTACAGTTACTTTCTTCTCTCCCTATAAATTCCTCACCGTTTCCGTTGTCGTCCTCCCTGCTACGTTTCTTCTTCCACTTAATTCGAGGCATTTTACACTAGCGCCACGCTATAATTCATGCTTTATTTGTAAGGTATTTACGAGCTTATGTACTGAAAGCACGCTGTTATTGCTAAATATATTTTTCACAGAGCATTTTTGACAATAATTTGTCTGAGCAAAAATTTGCTATCATAAAACGTGATATTTTCGACATTGTAATCACATAAATTTGGTAATATCAATAATGTCACCTATTATTGATACTATTTAAATCAGAAAAAAAATTTTTTTGTGTGTGTTTGCCAATAGTTTTTCCTTGACAGATAATAATTTTTTTACTTTTTATTTGCTAAAAAATTTTTTTTGTTTTTTTTTTTAATTTATAAAGCATTAATTTTTATTGAATATGACAAAAAACATTAATTCTTTTTGTGTGAAAAAGCGGCGTTCAGCTGTCGCTTTCAACGAAACTGAAGCTGTAACGGTGATTTTGTGGAGTTTTAGGTAGAAACAACCTCTACAGACGTTAGAATGGACGACGATATTGGTGGTGACTGGGAAGAACAGAAGCAACAGGAACCTCAAGAAGACGAGGAGGAGATAGTAAGTTATAGGCGAAGTGAACCAGAAGAGGTAATTGAAGAAACTGAAGAAGTTTCAGACTTCGTCAGAAATGAGGTAATATGCTCAGCATTTTTTACAGCCTCTCAGAACGCATTTGAACTGTACAATTTCAAGCATTTCAAAGAGGTCGTACATACTAAAAAAGGATTTATTTCAGTAAACTATGAAATTTTCAAACTGAACAATTCTGCTTCTTATTTTTTTTTGGTTTTTTTTCGCCTCGTTTTGATTATTTCGTTTTACTGATTTTAGTTACATTAAACCTCGTATAAAACAAACTGTTAGCAACAAGTGAATTTTTTTTTGATCCGCCTCAACAAAGCCAGCTGACTAATTAGGTTGAATTAATAGAATTCAAGAAAGTACTATCAAATTTGTGTCGCCTAAAACTATTCTACTTTATCTTTCAGCTGTTTCTAAGAGATTTAACGAGCAAAAACAGAAAATGTTTCAAAGTATTTTTTGTTTCAAAGAAAGAAGAATTTTTTTTCGATTTTTACACAGATAAGGAAAATAGAAAACTGTTTGATGCAGAAAAATGCTTCTATAAATTATACAAAAAATAACCGTGTTAATTTGCAAATGCAAAAAACTTTTTGTTCTTAAACAACTACATTAATGATATATGTATATATGATTACTCCAAATGCGTTACATCTTCAACGTTTTACTGATGATAGTTAAATTTTTTTCTATTCTGAGTTGTTTGTGCCTAGTTTTTTTCTCCTTTTTTTTTTCTAATTATTTCGTAGTTGTTTATTGTGGTTGCCAAAAATAAGATTAGAAAAATGCATAAACAGATTGATTTGTTGATGCCTTCTTAGCAAATAATACTTTATGGTTGCTTTGCCAAATGCTTTTGGGCCCACGGAAAATGAGGCAGGCAGTGGTTGATGAAGAAAAAAATTTCATGACTCATTCATTCATATACTCTATTTTAGTACTAATCAAGTTTTATTCCAAACATATTTAGCGTTACGAAAATTTATGCTGCCAGTAGAATGTTGGTGAAAAAAAAAAAGTGGAATCAATTTCCAATGGGTTTATATACACAGAAAGAAATTAAATATTCAAAAGACTAATGAAGATTTTTCTTCTCTAAGTTTAGATGTTTAACTGAAAAGTAGAACAGCCTGTCGAAACAGTAATTACTGCAAATTTTTGGTCTGACTTTGATATGTGTTTAGGAGGAAGAAAAAGAAGAAGAGAAGGTAAGAGGGTTTCCACAGGAGAAGAGAAAAGAGTTGTCACCAGAAAGCCTTTCATCAGCCGCCGAAAGCGCCGCAGCAGTTACAGAAAAAGGTCAGTTTGCACAATAATATTTTATCACTTCCTTTTTCGTACTTATCTGAATAAAACAACTGTGCCAAAAAATTTTATTTTTGGCTTAAACGGTGACACTGTGCTTCACTGATTGAAAAAATTGCTTTGAAATTTTAAGCAACAAATAAATGGATGGATTTCAGGCAAGGTATCAAACCTGAAATCACTATGGGAAACTAATGCAATATATAAAAAACCGGTAATTAGAGAGGATTACAAAAAAGGTAACAAGAAAATTGCAACACAATAAACAAAGATAAATACAAAATAGTAGCAGTAAAATTTGTAGCACTTTAATTTGTAGCACTTTGCTTCAGTTGATCAAATTGTTTGCAGAGCAGTTTTCAGCAAAATGTACTGTGTAAATCCTTTCAGAATACGGCGTTGGATCAGCACGTGTCAAAGTCGACACATCAGCTTACGAAAAAGATTCCCAAGATGCGACGAACTGAGCTACTAAAAGTGTCAATTCAAAGTAATATAGCAAAACTTCTGTCGTCATTGATTATAACACTTCCACTCATTGTATCCACACCGCACCTCCATTTCATTCATATGCTCATGTTCTAATTTTGTTCTAATTTTACATCAAATAACCGCAAAAAAAATGTGCCCAAAATACTAAACCAAAAGAAATGACACTTTTTGCCTCTTATTTGAAGTTACTCATTAGTAAAACAAGGAAAGCACACAAGTTATTTCAAGAAAACCAATTGATCAGTCACCTCAGCTACGCCTTGCTTTTTATCCGGTTATAATTATTTCTTTGCTAAGTAAAAAGCAATCTTTAATATTCAAAAATAAAAATAAGGTTTTCTAAAGCTTTATAAACCAAGCAATGTTTAAAAATTATACATAGGTAAGAAAAGGGACACTTTTTACCGACCAGAACTTTCAGTATTTACTTACAATATATCTGATTGCTTCTTCTGTAGACCTGATACTTTCATGAGCATCTTCAGAAATGGTCGGGTGTTACTTCAAAAAAGGAAAAATCGAAGTAAATTCCTCTCGTCATCGTATCTTGTATTACAAATGCAAAAATAGCTGTATACTTAAGAAAAATGCCTTTAAATCATTTCATTTGCAATAAATGTAAGATAAATAAAATCTATATAGCTTAGTTTTAAGAGGGAAGAATACTACAGTAATAGTGATAAACCAAAAAAGATAAAGAAACGGTAGACACATTTTTTCTTGACCCTGTCTGCAATATAACAGATTAATTTGGCTTTCATGTTAAAGAGCATCATAATTTGTTTATCCCGTTATCAAAACTAAACTTCAATCCTCATATAGATAGGTCATTTAAAGTAGAATAGTAGTCTACCAAATCAACTTTTCTTTGAAAAATTATTGCTAAACAGTTTCCACACTTTGTTAACCGTTAGTTTTTATTGAAAACTAAAATTGCTCTTCATTCAAAGTGCACCAAAATTAAACATGCATCTGCGAAGCGCGCCTTCATCTCGGTAATCTCTGTTGGAAGTGTAAGTTCTAAGATGCAGAAAAGTAAAACTGAAAGAAGTTTGTTGCCAGACGAAGAAGAAGAAAAAGCAAGAGAGGTATCAATGATGTGAAGCAGTTAACAGAAAACTGTGCAATTGCTGTACACTTTACTTTTGCTTGACATTAAATATAAAGCTAGTAATACGCAATTATGACGCAAGTC